AGAACCACCGCATAACGGTGCCTCCCACTCCTAACCCACCGAGACGCCGCAGCATGATACCGTGGTCTACAGTATCAAAAGCCGCTGAGAGGTCCAAAAGAACAAGGACAGAGGAATAACCTCTGTCCCGGGCCCTCCAGAGATCATTAACCAACGCGACCAATGCCGTTTCCGTGCTGTATCCCGGCCTGAAGCCTGATCCCCTTTTGCAACCTTTTGACAAGCAAATTCAATGGCAGGGCTGCTGGTGTCCAAGTGCTAAGGCGGGACTTCCCTCCCTCACTCCCTCCTTCCCTGCCTCCCTCTTTCTCATACCCACCTCTTTCTGAAGGAAGAATTTGAACCCACCCATATTTTCTCTCTTCCATATATTCATCAAACAAGGAAAAGCCTCCAGAGACAGAAAAGACAAGCTGCTTAGTGAACTAGCTTAAAAAGGCGCATTCCCCTTTAAGAATTAGCTACTGGCTAGCAAGGAAAGTTAAGGAGCCGGCAGCCGGCACTTAAGGAAGGAAAAACAAATGTAGTAAGTACTGGCTGCCGGCTAAGGCAGCCTCCCCAAATGGCTCCATTCATAAGTAAAGGAATGCTACAGGCAAAATCCATTCAGGAGAAAAATACTTAAAATCCCTTGCAGCAAAACTTACAGCTAACAATAGCAGAGCAATAGAATCTAACACGAGACATCAGCCATCCGCCAAATAGAAATTGCAAAACGCTCCTTAAGAACACAAAGCTCACATTTCACAAATCCCAGAACTTCAAAGTCACAAAAGCCCACAAGAATCCTTCCACTCTCCATCTCCCTCCCTCTGTGCCTCACCTCCAGCAGATGCTGCCTTTCTTCATTCCTTGTGGAGGGTGATCGCTCCCCCGCTGCGTTTCTTGCCTGTTTGTTGCTACCAGCACAGATGGCTGCCATAGAAGTTGTAGATCGGCTCATGGCCGGCCTGCTTGATCTCCTCTCCTCTCCCCCCACCCTCCTCCTTCTTTCCCTTCAGCTAGAGCTGACTCTACCTTCTCCCAAGATTGTTTCTTTTTCTCTCCCTCTCCTGCCTAAACTGCCTCCTTTTATAGCCTCTCCTGTCTCCGCCCCCTCCTCCTCCTTTCTCTTCTGGGTGAACCGGAAGTGCCAATCCTGGGGTCTTTGCCTCACCCCAGCCACTCTGCGGCTCTGAAGGACTCCCTCACAGTAAGTCCTGCACTGCGCTGGCTCATTCCCTCCACCACTTGGCTGGGCAGGGCCGCATACCATTTGCCACATGCTAATGTACCACAGGTGGTACGCGTACCACTGGTTGAAAAGCCCTGTTCTAGTTGCTCAAGCAGAAAACCTTATATCATTTCAGACAAATGGTTATCCAATCTCTTCTTAAAAACCTCCAATGTTGGAATATCCACAACTTTTGGAGGCAAGTCATTCCTTTGATTAATTGTTCTTACTATTAGGAAATTTCTCCTTAGTTCTAGTTTTGTTCTCTCTTTGATTAGTTTCCATCCATTGCTTCTTGTCCTGCCTTGTGCTTTGGAGAATAAGTTGACTTCTTCTTTGTGGCAGCTCCTAAGATATTAGAACACTGCTATCATGTCACCCCTAGTCCTTCCTTTCATTAAACTAGATATATCCAATTCCCGCAACTGTTCTTCATATGTTTTAGTTTCCAGTCCCCTACGCAATATTCCAAGTGTGGTCTTACCAAAGCAATAAACAGTGGTATTAACACTTCCCATGATCTTGATTCTATCTCTCTCTTAATGCAGCCTAGGACTTGTTGGCCTTGTGTGCATATATATTACCTGGCCTTTATAATATCTTGGTTCCTGTTTGCTAAAGTCCTGTTTAAATGTAATGACCCTATTCATACATAACATTCCCATAAATTAAAATTAAATGAAAATAAATGAAAATAAGTGAGTGCATGATTCTATCTGCATGGAAACTTAGAATGGCAGGAGCAGGTAAAGTAAGGAATAGGAGCTGGTGATTCAAACAGAGATGGTAAAAGAAAATAGGATGATTTAGAAAACTTTTTCCCTCAGAATAATTGAAAGTCAGGCAGTATAGAAGTTGAATAAATTATTGTTATTATTATCCTTTTTTCCTTTATCTTGTCTTTTTATTGTCTTTTATTATCTTAATGTTTATTATATTTCAATAAGCTTATTTATCTGATTTTATATACTCATGGCAAAAGTGCAATCAATGAATGAAATACATGTTAATCTAATCTATTATTTCTTTTAATTTTTAGTCCACTTTATTTGAAGAGAGGGTAAGTTGGAAAAGTTTTATGAACATGCATTAGATTTCCATTTTGGTATAATGTGTACATTTTCCTATCTAGAAATATTTTCTTTGACTTATTCCAAATCGTACAAGTAAAAATATAATATTTTCTAGCACTTTCCTCCTGTTTAAAGTTATCTTTATTCATTTGAGAAGAGTTAATCAATTGAAACCACCATGCAATGCATCTTTGAAGAAATTTGAGCAATTCTAAATTTTTCAAGTAATTTTCTCTTTGAGGTGGCAATCTGAACTTTGAACCAAAAGAGTGAATGCACGAGTGGGAGAAATGAACAGTTCTCAGAAGCTTGAATCCCACAAATAAAACTCTACAAAGTAAAAAACTTCTGTGTTATGAATAATTCAGTAGTTCAGGAATGTACAGCTGTTTCTTGTTTATTATCCTGCTGCTTGTACAATAGGTTGAAAGGCAAACTAAATATAATATGTTGGCTGCAGAATCAAGTCACTTTTTCTTTGGTGAAGCTAGGATTTCAGCTGCAAGATAGTTGATATACTGGGCTTGTATTTGAAAGGACATCATGAGCATTAGTAAGAAGACTAAGTGACATATGACATCATTGTACATATCACACTGTTGTGACTTCTACTGATACCTACAAAAAGGTCAATTTATGTACTCTGTTAAACCATTTTGTGAATAATATGTAAACCTAGCCATTATGGTTGTTAAACTATGATTTATGTTTTTCTTTCTTGAATAAATGCAGCTAGATGTAGCCTATACAACGAACTATGGCTAAACCGTGATATAGCTAGGGTTTAATCCAAGAGTATAACATTAAATTATTAAATTATAGATTAGTTAGAATACCTTAATCATAATTTGTAGCAAGAGTTTATCTACCAAAATCCTAGCACTACATATCTGAAGCTAGAGAGGGGTTTAGCCTCTCCTTCCAACCTCCAGATGTAGAGGCAGGAGCACCTGGGATTATTCCAATGATAGCATCATGGTTGATTCTGGCTCTTCTGGTTCTTCAACACTACTTCCCATAGTTTGTTTTTAATATGGAGTGGATTACTATAATGCATGAGGTTTCCCTCGAAAAGTATCCAAAAGGTTCAACTGGTACAGAATGCAGCTCCATGAATAGTTTTATGTGCCCATAGGATGGCACAGGTTACCTCTCTATTCTGTGATCTGCATTGGCTGCTGATCTGCTTCCAGGTACAATTGAAGGTGCTGGATTTGAGCTATAAAAATCTCCATGGCCAGACTTTTTGAAGGATTGCCTCTTGCCAGTCACATCTTGTCCCATTGGGTCCTATAGGAGGAGCATATTGTGAGTCTTGTCTCCTAAAGAATTTCATCTGATTGGACCCAGATGGTGTGCCTTTTCTGTTGTGGCTCCCAAACTTTGGAACATTGTTCCCCGAGGCAAGGTTAGCCCCATTGTTAGTATTTTGGAAGGCCCTGAAAAGTGGTTCTTTCAGCAATCTTGGGCATCCATGAGGAGGCTGATGGTTATATTGTGTCTAGATGTTCTTTGCCCACAGTCTTGCCTTTATTTTTTAAATTTTTTAACAATTGGACATTGTTTTAATTGTTCTCTTGATGCTGCAGGGTCACATACTATGAGTTTACCATAATGTTGAGTAAATAAATAAATAAATAAATAAATACAGTTTCTACAGTTTGTTTTGAATAAAAGTAAATAAGTAATACCTGTAAACCTGCTTATGCAGGATTGTTTCCTAAGTGAATTTAGATTTGATCATTTCAAATTGTCTTCTTAATTTCCAATACTAATTTATTTATTTTTCAATGTCTCCTAAAACTTCTAGTGTGGAAAGAGGTGTGAATGTCAGAAAGGAGACCAAGGACCCTCAGGACCACCTGTAAGTGTATAGCATAGTAAGAACTGTGAGGTTTTTTCTACTTATAGTTCATGAGAGTAAATGATAATCTCAAAAGCTTTAATGATAATATATTGATATTTGAAAATAGGTAAGAAAGGAAAAAATCAACAAAGAAGAAAACATAAAATCCCTCCAGAAGATAGATTTAAATTTTTCAGTTGTGTAAAACTTTTAAGAGAGCTAGTTTGGTGGAGTGGGGAAGACATCAGGTTACAAACCGGGATATTGTGAGTTCTGATTTTGCCCTAGGCACAAAGCCAACTGGGTGACATTGGCCGGTCACTTTCTCTCAGCCCCAGGAAGAAGGCAATGACAAGCCACTTCTGAAAAAAAATTGGCAAGAAAACTGCAGGGAGTTGTCTAGGCAATCTCTGAGAATCAGATATAATTAAATGGAAAGGAAGGAAAAGCTTCCTAACAAAAGCTTTACTATTACACATGGGCATTGTTAAGCTCATGATTGACATTGAAACACTACAGAAGAGCCAGTTTTGGGTAATTTATATATACATTCAAGCATGAGTGTTCAGTCTGGACATGGGTACTCTGAGGACTATTTTGTGAAAAATCAGGATATTGGCTATAGCCCTTAGCAGCAGTATCTCAAGGGACATAGAAAAGGAAGAAACAGGTAAAACGTGTGGCTGAGCTGGTGCAAAAACTGTACAAAGGAAGAAGGGGAAAAGGGGTGAGATACACTACTGCCCTGTTTACTCTGTAGCACCTACCCAAATTTTGTTTTTGGATTTTAGTTCAGACAAACTATAGTCTTTGAACAGTTAGCAGAAATTCTGCAACAGTTAAAATTAACAGTAAATAAAGAAAGCTAAAACTTACTTTCACGCTATTAGTACAAATGAATAAGTCACATGTTTCATTGTAGCCAAATTATAGTGATATGTATAATAATTATAAATATTTTCAAATATTACTAATAATTGTTTATTAGTAATAGTTGTAATAACAACTCTAGTAGTAAAATAGTTATCAGTTGCTTTCAGACCGCCGTTTATATTGGTTTCAATCTTTAAAGTAGGAGTATGCAACTTCTGTTGGGTTAAGGGCCAAACCATGCTTTGCATACTTTGTCAAGAGCCACAGTCCAAACAGGAGGACATAATTTAAAAGTTTAATCAACGTCTTAATTGTCTACAAAGAATGAAGCACAATTTTTTTCTTCATCACCTCCCAAATGCAAAGAACCAAAATTCTTTGGCTCATTCATTCTGCACCATAAACCATCACTCAAAACTATTCCAAAGGCACAGTTCAAGATCATGACACTCATTCTGAAGACAGTGAGACAGCAACAGCTAAACATAATTCCTAAGTGAATTCGTGATAAAGATGAAGATTTCCCCAACAAGTTTAATACATGTATCTCCACAAACAGTAGCATCTTCTAAAGCAGCGGTTCTTAACCTGTGGGTTGCGACCCCTTTGGGGGTCAAATGACCCTTTCACAGGGGTCGCCTAAGACCATCGGAAAACACATTCGTCTCCGCATTCGTCTCCGCATGGCCTCCTCTGCTATTTGCAGAGAGAGAGACAGAGAGGCACTTTCGCTTTCCTTCTCTCTCTCTCAGGCAGACTTACATCTTGCAGGGCTACTGATTGGCCCTGCACCTGGGTGCCCAACCCCCTGGGAGAAGCACGGCCAGGGCCTCATGGCCTTGGATCCCTGCTGGGAGCGGCCCGCTGGAGGCGCCACTGAGCGGGCCAGCTCCCCCACAAGCTATGGCCCAAGGGAGACCAGCCCCTGCGATCCCCAGCCAGCCTGACCATTGGCCCCGCTGGCCGGGAAAGTGCGCCGGAGTCCACATTGCCGGGAAGGAAGAAGGAAATGCAGCAATGGTAGAGGAGAGCCTCTTCCTGAGGCCCGGTGCTGGCTGCAGCTTCCTTGCCCTTCTCTTCCTCCTCCCCTTCTTCCTCCTGCTGCCCCCCAGGCAGCGTGGGCGGGCGCCGGGACAAGATGGGTGCCTGGGGGGAGCAGCCGGGCTGGCGGAGGGGCTGGCAGGGGCCGTGCGGCACCAGCCCCCACCGCGGCTCCATCGATGGGTGGAGGGCGAGGCCAAGCAGCGCGGAGTCCTGGCTGGGGCATCTCCTTCCTCGCCCTCCTCCTCTCCTTCTTCCTCCTGCTGCCCCCCAGGCGGCTCGGGCGGGCTCTGTTTCCACCGCGGCTCCATCGATGGGCGGAGGGTGAGGCCAGGCAGTGTGGAGTCCCGGCGGGGGCGGCGATTGGGCCAGGGGCGGCGGGGACCTCTGACGATGCAGCCGTGCCGCTGCCACCACCGGAGCCGCTGCCTCCTATCCTGCTCCCCCTCCCCGGCCGTTTGGCTGAGGACACGGAGGCCGGGCCAGGGGCAGTGGGGACCCCCTACAATGATGCCGTAAGAGAGAGGAAAGAGAGAGAAAGAGAAAGAGAGAGGAAAGAGAGAGAAAGAGAAAGGAAACAGAGAAAGAGAGAGAGAAAGAGAGGGAAGAGAAAGAGAGAGGAAAGAGAGAGGAAAGAGAGAGAGAAAGAGAGAGGAAAGAGAGAAAGAGAGGGGGAGAGGAAAGAAAAAGAGAGGAAAGAGGGAAAGAGAGAGGAAAGAGGGAGAGAGAGAAGAGAGAGAGAGGAAAGAGAGAAAGAAGAGAGAGAGGAAAGAGAAAGAGGAAAGAGAAAGAGAGGAAAGAGAAACAGGAAAAGAGAGGAAAGAGAGAAAGAAAAAGGGAGGAAAAAGAAAGAGAGGAAAGCGAGAAACAGGAAAAGAGGAAAGAGAGAAAGAAAAAGGGAGGAAAGAGAAAGAGAAAGAGGAAAGAGAAGAGAGAGAGGAAAGAGAAAGAGAGGAAAGAGAAAGAGAGGAAAGAGAAAGAGAGAGGAACGAGAGAAAGAGAGAAAAAGAGAGAGAGAAAGAGGGAGAGGAATGGCGCTTCTCCAATCAGGCTGGGCGGAGCCGGCGGAGCGGCCTTCCTACCCCCCTCCCCGGCCAGCTGGATGGGGGGTTGGGGGTCACCACAACATGAGGAACTGTATTAAAGGGTCATGGCATTAGGAAGGTTGAGAACCACTGTTCTAAAGAGCTTCAGCTGCAAATCTTAAGATTGTAGAGGCAGTTCTTTCATAACATTATAAGTGATTGGATTTTAACCTTTGGTATCCTGTTTAGCTATTATCTGTCTTGAGATTTTGTTGGACAAATGTTGGTGATTGTTATCCAACCACTTGAAAAAAGCCAATATACTATATGATGTGTCTATTCTACATAATTTTTGGTTGATTTCTTTAAACACTGGTCATTTTGACAGTCAGACATGCTTTAAATTGCATTGAATATATACTCAGTTTATAATTTATATAGTTTCTTTGTTTCTTAAGGGTGGCCATGGAGGAAGAGGGGATAAAGGTGAACAAGGACCCAAGGGGCAAAAGGTAAATCTGAACTGGAATTTTTTAAAAATGCATATTCTTTGTTGAGAAGTTACACATCAGTCCTACATCCCATGTAATTCTTTGGATGTTTATTTCAAAGTGCTTTCACTTTCATATTGTCCATGGGTACGTTAACTATTACAATTTTTCTAAAATATTTCTTCTTCCATGATTAGGAGCTAACTCAATGTTTATTGGGTCTTGGTTTATATCAGAATTAGGGTTCCACTGTTCTGAATTCAAAAAAATCTGGTCCCTTGACAATTCTTGCTTGATATCTGCTAGAATCAAATTCATCTTCAAAGTTGGATATTCTAAGAAGAAAAACAAGATCAGTATGGCCACTCAAATGGCTCTTAAGGGAATGCTCAGAGCATATTTTTTTTAATGAAGGATTTCACATTAGTGAGAAAATATAAACATGAGTGTGGGAAAGATGTACTTGTTATCATTCCATTGTGCAATGATCAGTACACTTGTCTGGATCTTGGTTAATATATTTAAATGAAATCATAATCAATTTGGATTCTATACTTGGTTAATTGTAGCATATGCAAGGTAATAATTTTTCCAAATACAAAGACAATTTTTAATTAGTTTCTACCTTTTTTTTCAGGGCGAGGCTGAGAAAGGAGAACCTGGTGAAAAAGGTTCAGAGGTATATGGATCATTACAATGACCATTTAGTTAAAAGCCCATCTATATAATGAACTGTCAGTTCTTGAAAAAGAAGTTTCCTGATTAGTATCTTCTCTGCCAGCTTGTTATCTGATGTCATTAGTTCATTGCTCTGGTATCACAAGGTTTTTTTTTTGAAAAAAGAGATATTCTATTTCTTTTACTTGCCTAGAAGAATCCCAGGTAAGCAGAAGAAGAATAGAATACAGCTGGAAGGGACCTTGAAGGTCTTTTAGTCCAGCCCCCCCTCTCAAGCAGGAGAACCTATACCATCTCAGACAAGTGACTGTCCAGTCTCTTCTTAAAAACCTCCAGTGATGGAGCTCCCACGATAAGGCAAGCTGTTCCACTGGTTAATTGTCCTCACTGTTAGGAACAAATTATGCAAACTCTTCTCCAGTGCAATGGCAACCTGTTCTTCTTGTATATGTAATATTGTATGCATATAGAAAAGAGGTAGACTTGCTTTTTGAGGAAGATGGGCAGACTCCAAATTTGATATATAAATAAATAAAATATAAATTAATAGAGCTTGTATTGCAATGGTGTGATGCTGCTTTTATATTTTAATGAAAGTATTGGATATTGTAGATACCCTAGTAATTGCTTCGCTTAACAGCTTTGATGTTAAAAGAGGTAGAATCAGATCTAGTCTTCTTTCAGTTTTGTTTTCCTAAAGATAAGATAAGAAAAACTCATTAGCATAGTGTTATGAGAACAGTGGAATTAAACTGTAGAGACCCAGCTGCAAAATTTCATTCAGATATTAAACATATTAAATGACTTTTGACCAATCATTATCTATCAACTTCCTCTTAGTGTTTTAGGGGAAATGACATGGGAAGACAAATATGCACACTAGTCTTCCCAAATCTGGACACTCTCCAAAAGTATGCACTTTGATATTTTCAGAATTCACATGCAAGAAATCTACACATCTAGAAGATACATCTAGAAAGTTGATATAACACATCTGTCAGGTATAAGGAGGATAATGAAACACTTATTAAGTCAGGCAGTGTCTGTTCTTTTATTTTCTTGCATATGAATGTAAATTGAAATGATTAGGAATATTTACATATAAAAGCTGTATGTGTATTTTCTTCCCTTTAAAGCTTGGCATTTTTTTCTCCAAAATGCCCAACCTAGTTATTATATTATTACATTATTTATATTTCTAATAAAGTATCCTTGATAAATAAATTAATTTTTAATTTTATTTTGTAACAGGGAAATCCTGGATATAAGGGGGAAAAGGTAAACTGGCTAAAAAAATCTTATTCTCACAATTCATACACACTGTTATTAGATATTCAGAAATGCAGTACTTAAAATTAAATATGAATTTGTGTATTTTTATAGATAATCAAAATGGATAGCATAATTATTAGTCTTTCTGGATCAAGATTTAGATTCAGACTTTAAACTGAAATATTTTTTCTCTTGAGTTTCCTGTAATGATTAAATTGAATTATTTATATCCCTCTTACATAAACATACACATACACACACACATATGTACATATGTGCGTCTCTGTGTGTATAATGTGTGTGTATATATATATATATGTATGTATATGTATATGTATATATATATATATATATATTTGTTTTCTGAGGTTTTCACGGGTGTTTGTATGTAGGTCTTTAGTTATTCGGGTTTTCTCCCGCGTAGAATTAGAAGTGTCTTGGCGACGTTTCGACGAAGTCACATTCGTCATCTTCAGGCTGGTGTCTTCAGCTTCGTGCTTCTGGGAGTAGTGTGTGTGATCGCAGCTGTTTCTTCCTTTTAACTGCCAGTGGGGTTTGAGCTGATTGGGTGGGA